GAACTGAACTAGAACTGAACTAGAACTGAACTAGAACTGAACTAGAACTGAACTAGAACTGAACTAGAACTGAACTAGAACTGAACTAGAACTGAACTAGAACTGAACTAGAACTGAACTAGAACTGAACTAGAACTGAACTAGAACTGAACTAGAACTGAACTAGAACTGAACTAGAACTGAACTAGAACTGAACTAGAACTGAACTAGAACTGAACTAGAACTGAACTAGAACTGAACTAGAACTGAACTAGAACTGAACTAGAACTGAACTAGAACTGAACTAGCACTGAACTAGAACTAAAAATGAACTAGAACTGAACTAGAACTGAACTAGAACTGAACTAGAACTAGAACTGAACTAGAACTGAACTAGAACTGAACTAGAACTGAACTAGAACTGAACTAGAACTGAACAAGAACTGAACTAGAACTGAACTAGAACTGAACTAGAACTGAACTAGAACTGAGCTAGAACTGAACTAGAACTGAACTAGAACTGAACTAGAACTAGTTCTATATTCAAGATTATTGACTATAGACTGGTCTATAGTCAACGCAATTAGCACGTCCATAGTCAAGTCTATAGGCAGATCTATAATCAAGACTATAGGCAGGACTATAACCAAACCACAGGCTGGTCTATAGACAAGATTATATGCTGGTCTATATTCAAGACTATATGCTCTATAGTCAAGACTATTGGCTGCTCGATACTCAAGACTATAGGCAGGTTATAGTCAAAACCATAGGCTGGTCTAAAGACAAGATTGTAGACTGGTCTATATTAAAGACTATATGCTGGTCTATAGTCAAGACTATTGGCTGGTCTATAGTTAAGACTATTCTCTTTTATAAGTTTATATTGTTTTGCCAAACGAATTAGCAACGGAAAAATTTAGTTTTGAATTCCTTTACAAAATAATCATACTTGTTAAAACATGCAACAGCATGACCATGAATTCCCTCTTAAACTAAAAACAACAAAATTAAAAGAAATTTAAATTTTTCTGATATAAAAATTACTTTAAATTGTTAAATGTAAAAATTACTTAAATTAAATATTAGAAAAAAGTAAAAGTGTGTGTGTTAAACTATTTTAGAGGTATTTTTTCAAAACCATTATTAATATTAATAATGTTTTGTTTGTTAAAGAAATTATTATTTTATTTGTTTGTTAAATTAGTTTTAATAATAGTTTTGTTAATTTTGGTTAATTTGTTTGGTATTTTTTTTTGTTTGTTTTGGTTTTATGGAGAGATAGAGTAAAAAAGTATGCACCTATTGCCTAAAGAAATGTACACTTTAATCTCCGTTTCTTGCATCTATCTTTAGCTCGCCCACTGGTCGCTTTTGAATCTTCAGTTTTGCGTGATCTTATTTCGCGCATCAAATCAAAAAATACCTGCATTTTACATACAAAAAACAATTAATAATTATAATAATAATAAGAAAAAAAATGAAACAATATACGAGATGATGGTCAAAAAAGAGAATATTTAAAAAAATTGTTTGGTTTTTTTTTATAAGAGAAAAAGAGAGAAAGAGAAGAAAAAAATCAAATTAAATTATAGAAGCAGCAGCAGCGGTAATATTTAAATATTATTATTTTTATTATTTATTAGATATATATTTTTTCTACAAAACTTAACAATCTTTATTTGCAAAAGTGTTAATATTAAAAACAATTTAAATTATAATATTTGCAGCAAATTATAAAGAAACAAACTAGTAAGTTAAAATATTAGTTAAAAATTATTAAGAAAGTTTTAAATAAAGTTTAAAAATATTATAATTTTAGTTCTAAAATTTAAATTCTCTAAAATTTTTTCTCTAAAACACACGCTAATCTATTTAGAGACTAATCAAATATTTATATGAATTCAAAAGATTTTCAAAAAGGAGAAAGTAGATAATTTTATGTCATACTGTTTGATCAGTTATAGGGCACCTCAGTTATAAACGTTCTAAATTTTTTAAGCGCTAAAGTTTCCTAAAGTCGGTAAGTCAGATTTCCTAATATTATCAGAGATAATAATCCCTGTAGTTCGGACAATATTCTTGTCTATTGTCTGTATTATAGTCTAGTCTATAGTTCGGAATATGCATTATAATTGTACCTATTATTGTAACTATAGAAAAGTTTTCACTCTGGACTATAGTCTTTACTGGAGTCTGGACTATAGTGTTGTCTACAGTAAGGACTATGTGCTGGGCTACTGTCTAGTCTATGATTTATCTATAATCTAAACTATAGAAGTCTAAACTAAATTATCGTCTATAGTTTTAACTACACCATAGTCTGAATTATATTCTAGACTATTGTCTTATCCTTAATCGTATCTATAAACTTGTCCATAGTCCGGACTACTATATTCTTGTCTATAGTGTAAAATAAAGTCGGTTTATAGTAAGTCCATTAAACAGACTATGGATATAAGTATTCTCTATAGTCTGGTCCATAATCCGGATTACAATCTAGGCTATAATTCAGACTATAGATAATATAAAGATAAATCAATCTGAACTATAGCTTTCAATGTAGTCTAAACTATAGTATGGACTAGCTTCTGGGATACAATTTTATCTATAGTCTGACCAATTGATTAGTCTAAACTATTGTCGGGAGTACAATATTTTCTATACTCTGGATTAGTATCTAAAGTCTAGACTAAAGTCCTAACTATAGTCTTATCTAAAGTGTTATCTATAGCCTTAATTATAGCCTGGACTATCTACTCTACTTTTCTATACTGTGGATTACAGTCTAGTCTCTAGTTTAGACTATGGACTATATTTGTGTCTATAATTGACTTGTATATAGTCTAAACTATAGTCGTGAGTGTAATATTTTCTATACTCCGGACTACGAACTATAGTCTAGTCTAAAGTCCTAACTATAGTCTTATCTAAAGTATTATCTATAGTCTTAATTATAGCCTAGGCTATCTACTTTACTTTACTCTACTCTACTCTGGATTAGAGTCTAGTCTTTAATTTAGGCTATGGACTATATTTTTGTCTATAATTTGATCTAACTAAGAACTTCATAAAAGTCTATAGTATGGACTACAGTTTGGTCTATAAACTAGACTATAGTTTTGTCTATATTCTGAATAGAGTATTGACTGTGGTTTGGACTATAGCTTTGCTTTATAGTAAGGATTACATTCAAGTCTATAAAACTGACTTTAGACTATAGTATTCTCTATAGTCTGATCCATAATCCGGATTACAATCTAGTCTATAATTCAGACTATAGATAATAGAAAGATCAATCAATCAATCTGAACTATAGCTTTCAATGTAGTCTAAACTATAGTATGGACTAGCTTCTGGGATACAATTTTGTCTACAGTCTGACCAATTGATTGGTATATAGTCTAAACTATTGTCGGGAGTACAATATTTTCTATACTCTGGATTACTATCTAAAGTCTAGACTAAAGTCGTAACTATAGTCTTATCTAAAGTATTATCTATAGCCTTAATTATAGCCTGGACTATCTACTCTACTTTTCTATACTGTGGATTACAGTCTAGTCTCTAGTTCAGACTATGGACTATATTTGTATCTATAATTTATTTGTATATAGTCTAAACTATAGTCCTGCGTTCAATATTTTCTCTACTCTGGAATACGACCTACAGTCTAGTCTAAAGTCCTAACTATAGTAATAAAGTGTTATCTATAGTCTTAATTATAGCCTAGACTATCAACTTTACTTTACTCTACTCTGGATTAGAGTCTAGTCTTTAATTTGATTTGATCTAAGTAAGAACTTCAGAAAAGTCTATAGTCTGGACTACAGTTTGGTCTATAAACTGGACTATAGTTTTGTCTATATTCTGAATAAAGTTTTGACTGTGGTTTGGACTATAGGTTTGCTTATAGTTTAGATATTTGTTTTGTTTTTAGACTGAACTATACTCCGGATTTAATCCTAGAGTTCATAATCGGGATTGCAGTATAGTCTAAAGTCTGCCCTATAATCTTACCTATATTCCTGACTAGACTCTTGTCTATATTCTAAACTATACTTTTGTCTACAGTCATGTTTATGGTGGAAACTATAGTATTGTCTATATTCTGGACTATTGTCCGTACTATAATATGTACTTCAGATTACTCTATTGTATGGAATATAGTCCTGTCTATTGTTTGGGTTATAGTATTGCTTTTAGTCTGCTCTATAGTCTGTACTACAGCCTTGTCTATAGGAGATATATTTTCTTGAAAAGCGATTTGGGCTAAGCCCAACTTTGAAGAATTATTTTAAAGATTAGTTTCTACAAAAATTCCTCTTTTAGTTTCAATTCTTCTTCTGTATCAAGATTCTTCTAAACAACATTTTAAACAAGTTGCCTAAAATTAAACTAATTTATTTTTTTGCAAACAATCAAATTTCAAACTCTTTGTGTTGAAAGTAGTGAAAATTTGTGAAAGAAAAAAAGTGAAAAAAATGCTGAAAGTTGGAAAATTATGCCATAAAGAAAAACTTAAATTAAACGACAACAATAATAATAAAAATTTAATGAAAAACAACTAAACAAAAGACACAACATTAAAGAAAAATATTGAAAATAAAAAAATGAAAGTAAAATAACAATAAAACATTTAAAGGAAAAAAAAAAATAATAATAATAAAAATTGCAGCGTGTGTGTAATAGTGTGTTTGAGAAGTATGCATGGGTAAATATGTAAAATTATAATAAAAAACAGAGATCAGAACTAAATGTAAAATAGAAGGGTTACGTATAAGTGTTCACTGGACAAAAACAACAAAATAAATAAAACAAAGTAATACTTGTAATAAAATAAACTATATATAAAAAAAACATAAACTAACTTAAAAACTCAGCTGCATTTAAAAAAGAAAACTTGTAATAAACCCTTTTCATTGGTAATAATTGAACTACACAGACAGGATTTGTTTTATAGCAGAAAATGAAAACCTTAAACAAGTAATTGCATTGTAATCGTAACAGCAACAACTTACCTTATCGACATTTTCACGTGTTTTGGCCGATGTTTCCACATATGGCACCTGCCATTGTTGAGCTCTTGTCTGACATTCATTCAGTGGAACTCTGCGCCTGTCATTTAAATCGCATTTGTTACCAACCAACAGGAATGGTATGCTTTCGTCATTTTTCACGCGCAATATTTGTTCCCTGCAACAAAAAAATATATATATTTTACATTGAATGATGATTAATAAACATTATAAAAATATATAAAAATAATTTCTCGGTTTTGCTTAATTATACTAATCAATAAATAAATATCAGAAGTTTTAACAAGAAAAATGTTTCTTGTAGAAGTAAACAAGACTTAGCACCTTTCTATATAAAATTTGACAATAAAAACATTTTAGAATGCAAATAAGATCGTTTTGAATTTTTCCATTAACAAACTTTATTGCAAATTTATTTCAAGGTTTGATGCAACAAATTTCAAACCACAGACTGTAGAATAGACTAGATTATGGACCAGACTATAGTGAAGACTATAAACTACTATATGCTAGACCATAGAGTAGACTACAGACTAGGCAATGGATTAGATTATTAAGTAGACTGTAGACATGGCTAAAGACTAAACTATAAACTAGACGAAAGACTAGACTATAGACTAGACTAGACTAGACTATAGACTAGACTATAGACTAGACTATAGACTAGACTATAGACTAGACTATAGACTAGACTATAGACTAGACTATAGACTAGACTATAGACTAGACTATAGATAGACTAGACTAGACTATAGACTAGACTATAGACTAGACTATAGACTAGACTATAGACTAGACTATAGACTAGACTATAGACTAGACTATAGACTAGACTATAGACTAGACTATAGACTAGACTATAGACTAGACTATAGACTAGACTATAGACTAGACTATAGACTAGACTATAGACTAGACTATAGATCAGACTAGACTAGACTATAGACTAGACTATAGACTAGACTATAGACTAGACTATAGACTAGACTATAGACTAGACTATAGACTAGACTATAGACTAGACTATAGACTAGACTATAGACTAGACTATAGACTAGACTATAGACTAGACTATAGACTAGACTATAGACTAGACTATAGACTAGACTATAGACTAGACTATAGACTAGACTATAGACTAGACTATAGACTAGACTATAGACTAGACTATAGACTAGACTATAGACTAGACTATAGACTAGACTATAGACTAGACTATAGACTAGACTATAGACTAGACTATAGACTAGACTATAGACTAGACTATAGACTAGACTATAGACTAGACTATAATAGACTAGACTAGACTAAGACTAGACTATAGACTAGACTATAGACTAGACTATAGACTAGACTATAGACTAGACTATAGACTAGACTATAGACTAGACTATAGACTAGACTATAGACTAGACTATAGACTAGACTATAGACTAGACTATAGACTAGACTATAGACTAGACTATAGACTAGACTATAGACTAGACTATAGACTAGACTATAGACTAGACTATAGACTAGACTATAGACTAGACTATAGACTAGACTATAGACTAGACTATAGACTAGACTATAGACTAGAATATAGACTAGACTATAGACTAGACTATAGATTAGACTATACTGTAGACTAGCCTATAAATGTAGACTATAAACTATACTACATACTAGACTATAGACACATAGAGATTGGAATATAGCCTGTAGACTTTAGATATAACTATAGACTATAATATAGACTAGACTGAAGAATATACTATATACATATATTCCGGTCTACAGTCCATAGTCTGTACAATTATCTTGTCTTTAGTCTGATACGTACTCATTTGTAATATATGGCCTATAGTTGTATCTGCAGTCTTGAATATAATCTGGACTAATGTCTTATCTACTGCAGTTTTAAGTTTTACTATCGTTTTTATCACTTTTTACTTATTAAGCTGTAAGTTGATTTGTTTCCCCTCCATAAAACTAAAATCAAGTGTTTATACCCTACACCACTTTAGTGGGAAGGGTATATTGGGTTTGTGCTGATGTTTGTAACATACAAAAATATTCGTCCTATACCCACATTAAAGTATACCAATCGGCTTAGATTTTTTCTGAGTTTTCTGAGTCGATTTAGCTATGTCCGTCCGCCCGTCTGTCGGGCTATAATGTCGAGATAATTGGATGAAATTTGGCACACACGTTTTTTGTGACTCAAGGACGAAGCCTATTGAAAATTGTTAAAATCGGTCCATTATTTCACCTAGCCCCCATACAACATAACCCTCCGAAAAGGGCTTCTGAGTTCATAATTATGTTAAATATACCTGTATATCGATACAAAAAAACGGCACAACTAAGTTTTATACAAGCCTTGATGACCTTGCCAAATTTCATAAAGATCGGGCCTCATTTGACCCTAGCTCCCATACAAAGTCCCCTTCATAAAATTACTTGAATGTCCAAAATTAACTTATAAATTTATAAATAGTATATAAATATAAATATATTCACAAAACTTTATCGAACTTGGTCCACTCTTGCCTCCAGCCCCCAGAAAATTAGTTTTTCATCCATAAATTGCTTAAATGTATCGGAACAATGAATTATTATGAAAAATAAATCACATTTAATATTCATAACTAGTGTAGGGTATCATATGGTCGGTCACGCCCGACTATACTTTCTTACTTGCTTTAATCAAGATTTATTAATAATTCCCCAACATTGTTAGAATATCTTATTACGAAAATCTCAAGCTGTGGTTTAATTTATAGCATAAAAAAATTAATTTTACCCTCCATAGTAAATTTAATATTTACTACGTAGTAAAGCAACAAACAATTACAAATAGATGAGGATCTCAAAATCATAAAACAATAGTGCGAAAATTAAGCAGAAAAAGATAAAAACAATAACAATAAACGCATAGCAATTTCTCAATTAATAAAAAATGTACACAAAAAGTACCTTATTTCTCTATAGCATATGTATTTCCCCCATAAGTACTTTTTAATTGTTTAACAACTACAAATTTTCGCCATAACACAAGGTTTATCGCCTTTAAATTTAAAAAGTACTTTTTAGACCCAACCCTAAAACTTTTTGTAAAGATTATGAAGGTATTTTTAGTTGAACAAAAAACCAGCATATTTTTTTTTAAATACATATATTTTTTAAACAGAATATGGGCATAAATGTTTATGTTAATTTTTTTGATTGCAAAAAAACAAGGAATTTCCAACCGCAATTAAATAGCAATTTTATATTGTGCCAGTAAAAAAAGTAAACAAAAACTAACAAAAAATTGTATAATTAAAATTTTTCTATTTAATTGTTGTACTTATTAAAAAATTTGCTGATCAAAAAAGTTTATATCTAAACAGTTTTAATAGTAATTATAAATGTTTTATGTGTTTTCCTTTGTTAAAGCTAACAACCTTTAAATGTTTAATTAAATATTACTGTATTGTATTGATTAGCAAACGAAAGTTTTGTAGGATTTGCAAACTTTTTTAGTTATAACAAAAGATTATCCACACTGCAGACAAGTCTAACTATAGAGAAGACTATATTTCAGACTGGAGATAAAACTATAGACTATAGACAAGACTGACGACTAGACTCTAGTTCAGACTGGAGATAAGACTATAGACCAGACTGTAGAAAAGACTAAAGACTAGACTGCCGTCTACACTATATACTTGACTATAAAATGGTCAGAACTATACACTAGTCCATAGACTAGTCCGTAGACTATAGTGCAGACTATAGACCAAACTATAGACAAGACTATAGTCCAAACTATAGACAAGACTATAGTCCAAACTATAGACAAGACTATAGTCCAGATTATAGATAAGACTATAGCCAATACTAAAGCTTAAAGATAAGACTATAGGCCAGACTATAGATAAGACTATAGTTCAGACTATAGACAAGACTATAGTCCAGACTATAGACAAGATAGATAAGACTATAGTCCAGACTATAGACAAGACTATAGTCCAGACTATAGACAAGACTATAGTCCAGACTATAGACAAGACTATAGTCCAGACTATAGGCAAGACTATAGTCCAGACTATAGACAAGACCATAGTCCAGACTATAGTCCAGACTATAGACAAGACTATAGTCCAGACTATAGACAAGACTATAGTCCAGACTATAGACAAAACTATAGTCCAGACTATAGACAAGACTATAGTCCAGACTATAGACAAGACTATAGTCCAGACTATAGACAAGACTATAGTCCAGACTATAGACAAGACTATAGTCCAGACTATAGACAAGACTATAGTTCAGACTATAGACAAGACTATAGTCCAGACTATAGACAAGACTATAGTCCAGACTATAGACAAGACTATAGTGCAGACTATAGACAAGACTATAGTGCAGACTATAGACAAGACTATAGTTCAGGCTATAGACAAGACTATAGTTCAGGCTATAGACAAGACTAAGTATAGACAAGACTATAGTCCAGACTATAGGTAAGACTCTACGCAAGGAAGCACTTAAGTCGAGGCCATAGTCCGGACTATTGTGCAAACTAAAAACAAGACTTAAGTCTAGACTGTAGACAAGACAACAGTTAGTGGTTAAAATTCGGTATTCTGATTAAAATTTTAACTTCTAGTTACGGTTAAGTTAGTTCAAATATGACAAAACAAACTCCTAAAGGGATTTCAAAGAAATTAGAAAACAATTCTTTATTATTTAATAAATGAGGTAATGTCCCACACCTAATTGTTTCGAAATATAAATACATAATTGACTTTTCTAACTTCAATTGGATTTATGTATATTATACGTTTCTATAGAAGATCCATAAAATATAAAAGTATTTGCTCTAAATTTACCCTCATTTGTTTATGACTTTTTCTAATGAGTTTTAGTGAAAAGCTTTTGGGCGTGTACACACAACAAATGACGGTAAGTAACAAATATGTATGTTTTCGAGTTTAATATTTACATACACATTAATGTAGACATAATTATAGGGGATTTGAAAATGAGGCTGGAAATCGAATTAATACATCGAAAATAGAAAAAAATTCTATGTGTTTTGTTTGTTGTACTTGCATGTACTTTGCAAAGAATCATATATGATATAATAACTTTCTCGTAATTAATACAGTAATCGAATAGTCTACG